GGGCGCGGCGCCGCGAACGGTGCGGCACCAGAGCAAGCGAGCAACGCGCCGCGCCGAATTGACTACCTACCAGACCACCCCAACCCAACCCGAAGACCCGAATTTGACCCGAATTTCGGGTTGGGGGGGGTACGGATACCATGTGTTTTTTCAACGTTCCCCGACCCCCCCCACTGGAAATCGAGGATAAATTTGGGCCTTCGGGTTGGGTTGGGGTGGTTTGGTGGGTGGTGACGAATGACGGCACCGGTGGGCGATGGGGCGCAGCGCCGAGCGGTGCGCAGGGGCGCGGCAGGCGGGGCGGAGGGCCGCGCGGGGCGGGCGGGGGCAGCGCCGAACAGGTGCACTAAACATGGATGAGCGGCACGGCGAGTTGCCGCGCGGGGGGGGGGGGGCAGGCGCGCGGGGGCCGTCGCTGCAGGGGGGTAGGCGCGAGGCCGCACCGAACAGGTGCACTGAGCTTGAAGTCGACTGCAGTTGGTCAGATGCGGGGTTAGCGGGAGAGCCTAGGGGCGAACCCACTGCGAAAATTCGGCGATGGTCTGGCCGGCCGCGGTCGCCGACCAGTGGCGACTGGAGGGGCCCGGGCACCGCTGCCTGGCAAAGTCGTTGCTGGGCCAGGTGGGGTCGGCAGGCCTTTTTGCCTTTGCCATGGGCCGGAGGGCCTTTCCCTATGTGTTGTCCTTGGACAATGCGTTTTTCGGACCTCGTCTTTCACTTCCTCCCCCCGCCTCCACAAGTGGGCGGGGCGGGGGGCGTTCGTGAGGGGACGGGGGGGGCTTTGTGCGGAGGTGGTGCCGCTCGGAATGCACAGCGTTTCATTTGCGTGTTCCCGTCTCGGACTCTTTGGCTCAAGCGTTCATGGCACCCGAGGTTTTTTTGATCTGCACTCCTTCGGCTTCCGCTTGCAGCGATAGCTCTTGGGGGCTGATCTCGGCGCTGTCTGGCGAGCTCGACTTTCGTGAGCAGGGGTTTCCCACGACGGCGCGCCTGGGTTGCGGACCTCTGGCGGTATTCCCGTGGACCTTGTTTACGGTGGTGAACGACGTGGACGATCTCGGCGCGGACGAGCCCGACCGCGGTCAGATCGAAGCGCTGATGCCGGTGGAAGCATGGAGCCGTCGGCACTATCGTCAGAGCTCGACAGACGGTGGCTTGATGAGGAGAACGTCTGGGAACCGCTGGGCTGTGTTGATGCCTGGCATGACGCTGGGATTGATTGCGATCGCTGATGGAGTCGAGCCTGTCCTCGGACCCGATCGAGGATCCACGATGGACGCCTCTTCCTCCCCTGACGGAGCAGCAAAAGTCCTGAGTCACGGCTCAGGCGACGCAGAGGCTGCAGGCCGGGACGGTGTCAGAACTGCCTCTCAACCGCCCAGGCGGCTCGGCCCAGCAGGCTCTGGCGACAAATGTGATCTACACTCTCGTGACTTCGTGGCGGCCAGCTCTGAAAACGCTCCGACGGTCACTGCGGGGCCCGATGCGCTTCTTGGGAGTGCTGGCCTTGCTCTTCGTGCTGATCGAGTGTCTGAAGATGCTGGGCGTGGTCTCCTATCTGTACGACACCGCCCTGGCTGTGCTCGCGTCGTTGCGGGCTGTCCGCGACGCTCTGGTCGAGAGTTCAGAGGCTCTCTGGGAGTGGGGGGCGCACGTCAACGATTGGCTAGAGTGGGGGAGGCGCGCCATGCCCTTGCAGCGGTGGTGCGCCTGGTTGGTTGCGACGGGTTTGCTTCTCGCTTGGGGCCTGCGCGAGTTCACCGATGCGGAGGACGGGGGGCAGTCTTGGATCGGTGCGCTGTCGACGGTCTCAGCCCCATCGGGACGCGTGGCGAGGCCGCCTTCACTCCCTCCGCCAGCCTCTCCACCTGCGATGGACGGACTGTTGGCGAGCCAGCTCGAGGACCTCGCAGAGTCCCAGAAGGCCATGGCGGAGGAGCTGAACGAGATGAGGATCGCGGAGAGGAGTCGAGAGCTACGTCGGAGTACACTCGAGGAGAGCAGTGCTGGGCGTTCCGCCGTGGCAGAGGAGGCGAACCACCAGGTGATCAAGGATATGATGAACAGGCTCGACAGCGTGGAAGCGAGGGCGCGCGGCGAGCCTGGGTCCAGCGAGGGCCTGGCGGGCCCCAGTGGAGGTGCAGCTGCGGGGGGGTCGCCGGCGAAAGGGCCATCGAGCGCTGCTGCGGGGCTGCTCGGGACGCCCGGGAAAAGAGCGGCCGCGACCCACCCAAAATTCGGTGGAATTGGCGATCAAGCGGACACGGTTCAAGGCTCATTTTCCGCAGCAGGTCTTCGAGGAGCAGCTGGGCGACTACGAGGAGCAGCCCACCGCCGAGTGGGCGGCGAAGATGCGGGAGGGTTACCGCCGGCGGATCGCCTCGGAGGTGCTGGCGGACATCTACTCGACTGGGAAGACGGCGGAGGCGTGGGCTCGGGATTTCATCAGGGACCGCGGGCTCATGGAGTGCCACGCGGCCCGGGAGATGGTGGCGGCCTTCGGCGCCGTGGACACGATGCTGATGACAGACCGGCAGAAGGGCTTGCTGAACCAGGTGAGCTTCGAGCGGCTGGTGGGGAAGGGGTACGCTCTGGCGCGCGCGTACCGCAA